ATTATGGATACTTTCTTTTTATATATACTAGATAGACTTTAGATGCAATTACTTTATTTACTTCCCATCCCCATTCAATTTTCCTAGTTGCATCGCACCTCTAAGTGTGTTTGACATAAATTAGCTTGACACTCTCTCATATGGCCATGCTTTAATAGAGTACTCAATTACTCATATACACTTTTGCCTTTATCCACTCATGATATACCTAGTTATCATTTATTTTATACATATTTCCATCCCAATTCATATTCCCATGCATTGCACCTTCATGTGCGTTCAATATACGTTTAGTCAAAATCCTAGCCTCAGCTATGATCAGGGGCCAAGCTAGCAAAAAATGAACCATGGTGCACCACTAAAAGAGTACATATATTTTTTGGAAGATATGTGATAAATATTAGACTCTTTAGTGGTAAAAGAAATTTACCCTGATGCATTGCTACCAAGATAAGTGAACGTGAACGTGGCGTCACCCCTGGCTATGATTTGGCTTGGAATTCGACATGTTTTTTTTTACGGAGGTAAACCCCGCTTTTTATAGAAAGCAACATAACAAGTTCACAACCCACCACACAGTTCGACTTGTTTGTCGCTTTATGCATATGTGAGCATGGGGTAACTAGAGATGCAGATTTAGTGTGTTGCTCTATATTACTTTTTGTAATTGTATATGTGAGTAATTTAGATAAAGATCAGGGGTTACTTTAAGTTATTTTATATAATAACATTAGTAGGTCACTTTAAATCAAGATTTACGGGTTTTCTTTTAGTCTTTTTTTTATAATAATGGCAATGGTAGGTATATTTTTTTTATAAAACAAAACATATTAACGACTATGTTGTTAATGATGAGTCTACCATATTGATGTCTAGATTTTTTATATTTTTGTAAGAATCTCTAGAATTTATCTTTTTTTTTGTTAGCACGTCTTGAGAGAATAATTAATGTGAAGACTCCATTAAGAATCTACTAAGCAATTCCTTCCGCCTAGCCTAGCTAGTGTGTGTTGATATCCTTGGTCACGACTCTACTTTTGTTTCTTTATGTATAGCTGTTTAGTGTTTACACCACTGATATATTGAGTAGTCTCCACATGATTTCAGTTATTTGTTTCCTGATTGACAACATCACAATATATTCTCTGAGCTTGTAGTTAGCCATAGTATTATATTGTGTAGCTGGTGAGCAGCAGGGCTTCCCTAATTTTTTCTTTTTCTTTTTTTTTTAAAAAGAAGTAGCTGGTGAGACACATCATATATAACCTTTTCTTTCAGAAAGAAAAAAACAAAAGGGTTGAAATGAACGTATATAAGAGGTGAGCGAGCCAAGGAAGAGGCAACCTAGCTACCTGCACTCCATAACAACAACAACAACAACAACACACTTCAGTTGTTTGGACCATTTGGTTTTCTGTAACTATCAGCAGTTGGATTGGTTTGCTTGTCTCTTTTATTATGGCCCTGTTCGTTTCTCTTATAATTTATCTTTTTTAATTTGTTTTTTAGTTGAAATAGTATTTTTTTCTCACAATAAATCAGTCGGAACAGTGTTTCAACTTGTTTTTTCAGCTGAAGCGAACGGGTCATATGTCCTATATAACTGTGCGAGCAGGCAAAGGCAGCCATGTGATCAGTGATCTTTATTACTGCTAAAAAAGTAGTAGTACGAGGCATCCCCATGTGCAGTTGATATATATGTGATGTATCATCAAAGCCTAGCCTTTTTCCTCAACACAGCTGCTTATCTTAACAGAACCGAACTGAAAAAAAAGGTGATCGTACCAGATCTTCTTGTTCTGCGTTCATTCATTTGAGGGAAAGTGTTTCCTTAGGCCCTAGCGTGTCGGCAGTAATCTGATGATTAGCGGCGTTGGCCACTGTTGGATAGATAAGCATGGACCCGCCTGCTGCAACTGGGGGTAAAAATATCTTGAGAGATATTAGTCAGTTAGATATTTTCGTCGTGGTGCCGCTTTTTCCTTGCGTGATGGATGGATTTGAGAAAAAAAAGTCGTCGTTGTGGCATTGCAATAACTTTTGCTTTCTTTCTTATCCTCGATCTACTCAGTCTTTATTCTTTAATCTGATGGACACACACACTAAGCTGGTCAGCTCCTGCAGCTAAAGCCGTTTTTGTCAGGCAGGCAGCCAAGCACGGCTCGCTTTCTGCTCCCAGCTCCCTTTCTCTGAATTTTCACTTTGGCAGAGCCGTAAGATCTGTCGGGCAAGCAGGCAGGCAGTAGCTAGTGCCCTAGCCACTGTGGCGTTGTCAATTCTGGTTTGCCTTGCCCACCAGAGTCACAGTTCCTTGGGCCTGTCTCTGTCTTCTTTCTGCGTTAAGGTCTTGTTTAGATTGCCTTAAAATTTTAAGTTTTTTTATTTCTCTTCATCACATCAATTTTTAGACATATGTATAGAGCATTAAATATAGGTAAAAAAATAACTAATTATACAGTTTGGTTGTAAATCACGAGACGAATCTTTTGAGCCTAATTAGTCCATGATCGGATAAAGTTTGTCAAATACAAACAAAACGTGCTACAGTGTCCAGATTATAAAAATTTACAATCTAAACGAGGCCTACTTATCACAGTTGTGTTAACTCAACAGAGCTACTACTTGAAGGCAAGTGACAGTGAAATCAGTGAAGGAAGTAAAAGCCTGATGAGTATATGTAGTACAAGCACATGCCGCAGTCAGGGAAAAAGAAACATTGTGAATGCTACGAGTACAGTATAAATTTGTGCTGCCACGAAGTTATCTCAGGCCTTTGTTTAGTTTCTAATTTTTTTTTGTCTTCTACAGTAAAAGAGTATGTTTGGACACATGTATGGAGTATTAAATGTAAACGAAAAAAAACAAATTGCACAGTTCTCGGCAAAATCGCGAGACGACTCTTTTAAGCCTAATTAGTCCATGAAAAGCCTTAAGTGCTACAGTACCCCACATGTGCTAATGATCGATTAATTAGTATCATTAGATTCGTCTCGCAGTTTTCTGATGGGTTCTGTAATTTATTTTTTTAGTATCCAAAAACCCCTCCCGACATCGTTCCGACATCCGATGTGACACCCTAAAATTTTTACCTCCCCAACTAAACACACCCTCAGTCTTTGGGAGAAAGAGCACTGAAGCGTTTCTCGCTTTCAGTCACAGGTCAAAGCCTGCATCCTCCACTGAAAAAAATCGGGATTCATAAGGGCGCGTTTAGTTGACGGAAAATTTTTGGTTTTGGCTACCTGAAGACTTTCATTTGTATTTGGCAATTAGTGTCTAATTATGGACTAATTAGGTTCGAAAGTTTCGTCTCGCGATTTATCACCCAACTGTGTAATTAGTTTTGTTTTTCGTCTACATTTAATACTCCATGCATGTGCCGCAAGATTCGATGTCACATTTTGGGGTGAAAATTTTTACTAACTAAACCGGGCCTAAATCACAAGGTGGAATGCTGTCACCTCTGTCTATTGATCATGAACTACCGTTGGAACGATCGGAATGAATGAATGAATGAATGCAGTGGTGTACCAGTTCAGCCTATCAGCAGCAGACTGACAGTCACGCAAAACTGCCTGCCTTGGCTGCTCGCACTTGCACTTGCCATCAGATCCCGGCGATACCATCTCCTTCTGCTTCTCCTCTGGAAATCAAACGATAATACCCATTCTCTTCGTTTTAAAAAGCAACAATAATTACTTCCGTATTCTCCAGTGCTGAAAAGCTCGCAGTCGCAGAGTCACAAGCCCAGTTGTAAAGCTGAAGGTTTATCTTATCTCTCCAATAAGGCATTTTATAGCAAACAAAACAAATTCCGTGCACCTTTCTACCTGCACAATCTGGGTGGATCCGTAGGAAGGCTAGCAAAGTTTTCATGATCCCATCATGAGCATGAGGCAGAGAGCAGCATGATTCAAGATGGCGCTCAAGTGGAGTCAGAGTCCCAGTGCAAGATGGACAGGCAGGACAGGCATTCATGTGCCCGAGCTGAGCAACAGAGCAAAGGCATCGCCTTTCCTTTGCTCCTGGATATTTGCCGTGTTGTGCTGTCCACATTGGATTATGCTCACCTCTGCAGGGCAAAGTGTGCGTGCCACTTTACTGGAAAGTGGATTCTCCCTTTTGTCCTGTGCTGTAGTAGTGCTAGTGCATTGCCCGGCCGTAGTAGTGCTAGTGCATTGGCATTGCTCTCAACTCCACTAGCTGAACATGAACTGACTGCTACTGCTGCCATGAATAGAATTGCAACAAACAGTGAATGAAACAGGTATGTACCATACTCCATGGGATGACCAATCCAGTCGTACTGATTGTATCCCAATCCCAATCCCAATCCCAATCCCAATCCCAATCCCAATTGCTCTTGTTCCTATACTTGATGGCATGATTGGCATCCTTTCTTTTCTTGACGGAATAGGTAGATCTCCCTCGGTCTCTGCTTTCTGAAACTGAAATGGAGGGCAAAACCTGAAACCAAGCAGAAACGAGGAGAAGAGCAGTAAACAGGGTGCCAAACAAAAAAAGGTGGGCAGAGCACAAAAGAAGACACAAAAAGGCGGTTTTTTGGACGTGGCGTGGCCCCTCCTCTCCTCTGATCTTCTCACCTCTTTCTTCGCATTACACTGTTTTGTCGTCACCTCCACCTCATCCATCTCGCTCGTCTTCCTCCTCCCCTCGCTCCATAAATCCGATCGACAGCTCCTGACCGCTCCTCACTCCCCACTCTGGCTGTTTCTCGCGCCTCGCGCGCCCACCCACCCACCTTCACGCGCACTCCCAACTACTCATAAAGCCCCCGTCACCACCACAGATACACGCGCGCGCTTGAGATAGATCGACGTCTTGCAATCGCACAGACTCGTCATCTCTTCCTGTTCGTTCAAAAGACTGGATCTTTCCACAGTTCCTGTTCAGAGAGCCGCCGGATCTTTTCAAGGAGGCTTCGATCTGGTCTCCGCTAGCGTGTCGGTGGTAAGCACCCTTGCGATTTTGCGTTCCAAATGATCCTGGCTGTCTGTGAGTACCGCCAGGCAAGGCTGGGCGAATTCCAGGTTTCAGATTCAGCTGCGCGTCCGTACGCAGACCCTTTTCTTGTTTTCCTCACCCTACCGGCGCTAATCGCTGGATTCATGCGTTTGCTTTCACTGACGCGGCGTTTCGTTGCTCGATTTGGCCGAACCAAAGCCGTCTCCTTAACTTGGAATTTGTTGGTACAAAACAAGCATTTTTTTATCCGCCGTTCGTATCCTAGGACTCTACTAAACGCCTGCCCTGTCAGTCTTATCTTAAACATATCCCAACGCGCGGCCTATTAATCCACAGCTCGCAGTTTAAGGTCTGGAACCCGAATTGAAGAAAAGGTTAATTTTGCTGACCGTGGTTGTTTTCTGCAACTACTAGGTCTAATAAAGTGTTCTGTTGGCCTTTCCCCATCGGAGAGGTTGTGCCCCCGTGGTGATCTAATCTTAGCATGGAGTACACGACAAGAACAAATTATTATATGATAGTCCGACGACCCTAGGCAAACCTCTAGATTATTCAAGCTGTTATGGGATTACTCCAGAGTCTGGACTGAGATCGACTGACATCACATGATTGCTGCTGACGCTCTCTGATTTTACTGACTTATTATTGAATCCCAAAGTGGCAGTATATATATGCAACACATACTAACAATTACTCTTTTGGTCTGATAAGAGCCATAATTCTGGTGCTGGTGGTACGACTTTTAGATTGGCTGTGCCTGTTCGCACCATATTCCCCTCCTTTCTTTTCCCCCCTTGCCATTGTGTATTTGTGTGCCATATTAGGAAATTTAACCACGGAACAGGAAGTAAGAGAATCGATAAGTCATCTTCTTTTGTGCCCTGTAGTGTGCTGATATTCACAGTAGTGCTTGTGTGCTTATTTTAGGAGATCCTGATAGACATACTACTCTGAGTTGCATACTTGCATCTTGTGCATTTCCTTCTGTTGGTATTGACTGCTGCTGCTTGTTATTTCAGACTTGCACCTTATCTGAAGATGTCTTTTCGGAGCATGGTTCGTGATATAAGGGAAAGTTTTGGGAATATATCGAGGCGGAACTTTGAGGTGAGAATTCACCACAGAGGGAAGTCTCTTGGATCTTCAAGTGACTTGCAAGACAGGCCTGCTGAAATTCAGCAAAGCAGGTGGGCTAGCCTTCCTCCTGAGTTACTCCGCGATGTGATGAAAAGGTTGGAGGAAGATGACAGTAGCTGGCCGGATCGCAAGGATGTTGTTTGTTGTGCCTCTGTTTGCACAACCTGGAGGGATATGTGTAAGGATATAGTGAGAAGTCCAGAACATTGTGCAAAACTCACATTTCCAGTATCTCTTAAGCAGGTAATGAGTGGGCTCAGTGAGTGTTGATGAATTGTGAATTCTTTCTCTCTAAATTCACCTTGCCTTTCCTGAAATTCTCTCGTATCACCTAATATTGGTGAGGAGCCGAGGGCGTAGTTTTAGTTATTCAGATTTATAACTCTTAACAAGGAAACTCTGTGTCCATGAATTTTGTTTGTTTTCTGTCTTTCTTAACACTTATTTGAATTTTTCATGCACAGCCTGGACCCCGAGACGGAGTAATCCAATGTTTCATAAAAAGGGACAAATCAAAGCTAACATACCGGCTCTACTTGTCCCTTAGTTCTGGTAAGTGTCAAGCTATTGTCTTCACTTCAAAATAACAAAGTCAATAGTCTTTTGTTTGTTTGTTGAAACTCCTGTCTGTCCCATCAGTTTTCAATTTTGTCCTTGAAGGAGAACCATGGGTCATTTTCAGTACATTGGAAAATATTGTTCCACTATTTTTTTGTCTTTTCTGAACCTGATAATTCAGGAGGTGACTAGAAACCAGCACTACTTTCTATCACAACTTTATTCAAGGGGGAAATCTGTGATGTTAAAAAAAAAGGCATTAAGTACAGGATGAAGCATCTATGTAAATGCTTGAATAATTGTCCAAAAACATGAATGTTTCATAGAATTAGACTTTCTCGCCTTTTACATTAGTCATGGTGAGACTATTGTTCCTGTACCAGCCTTTGAAGCTTCCACAGCAGCACGGACTTGAAAATGATGTGGTTGGTATATAGTTCGGATTATGCAGTGTCGCATTGTCACCATAGTAGAATATACCATGCCTGCTATTGTTTTCTTGTCATTTTTCGTGTTTTTTCTTCACATGTAAAAGTTATGCTGCTTGAGTTAATTACATGCAAACTGCAAACTGATTTCTAGTTTCTTGTCATGGCTGCTTGTGCCTGCCTTCATTCTCGATGACAGTGTGTATGTAGTAAACATATCTGCCACTAAAGATTTTAAGTAACATTCTGAAACTATAATAAGAACTAATTAGGATGTTTTCATCAGATGTACATATGCAACACAGTGATATTTCTGCTGGATCTTGTAGCTGTGCTTGATGAGAACGGAAAGTTCCTATTAGCAGCGAAAAGGAGCCGCAGGATGGCGCACACGGAGTATGCTATTTTTATGGATTCAAGGAATTTCTCCCGAGCGAGTACTGGCTACATTGGGAAGTTAAGGTGAATCTTCTTAGGCAACAATCTTCCCTTTATCCTCTTTGTCACTTGGATGAGTATGATTGATGATCTTTGCATTAAAACCTAACATAAGTATTCCCTCAAATAAAAAAAAACTGAGACAAGTTATGGCTCTGCAGGTCAAATTTCCTTGGAACTAAATTTATCATCTACGACACACAGCCTCCGTACAATGCCGGGAAACTTTGCGCACAGGAACGTGCCCCCAGCCGTCGGTTGTCTTCCAGGAAAGTTTCACCAAGAGTTCCAACGGGAAGCTACCCCATTGCTCAGCTAAACTACGAGCTGAACGTGCTCGGAACCCGGGGGCCAAGGCGGATGCAGTGTGCTATGCATTCCATCCCCGCATCAGCAGTCGAGCCTGGCGGTGTTGTGCCTGGCCAATTGAAGGAGCGCCTCCCAAGGCTGTTCGACGAGTCCTTCCGCAGCACAGCAACTTCTTTCTCCAAGTACTCTGTCGTGGACAGCTCCATGGACCTGAGCAGCTGCCGGTTCTCCGAGCTCAGTGGAGGGGCTCTGCAAGAAGGCAGCGACGACTCAGAGAAGGAGAAGCCTCTGGTTCTGCGCAACAAGGCGCCTAGGTGGCACGAGCAGCTGCAGTGCTGGTGCCTCAACTTCCGCGGGCGCGTCACTGTGGCCTCGGTCAAGAACTTCCAGCTGATAGCTTCCGCGCCACAGCCAGCTCCCGTGGGGGCTTCTTCTGCTCCACCACAGGCGGCAACACCTCCTACACAGACACAGCCACAGGCCTCCGTTCCATCTTCGTCGTCGTCCAGCCATGCCCATGACCCGGTGATCCTGCAGTTCGGCAAGGTTGGGAGGGACATGTTCACCATGGACTACCGGTACCCGCTGTCGGCCTTCCAGGCCTTCGCCATATGTCTGACGAGCTTCGACACCAAGCTGGCCTGTGAATGAATGAATGAATAGATGGGACGAGTAGCGTATCGTAGCAGGGCAGCAGCAGTGAGAGATCGTTTTATGTGTTTGTAAGTGATATAAGCAGAGGCATTCTGAGCCTTTGCATGTAAATAATTTACAGTAGCTGTTGATTCAAGTATTGTTTCGTGAGATGTTGCTTCAGAAACCTGAAAGTGGATAGAAACGCAAGTGTCTTTTTTTTTGCGTCAGGGAAGCAATCTGAGACAAGTCTGCACTTACTTTTTTTGCTGCTTAGTCTCCCTGTGTAAAAAAACGCATATCTTGTTTTCCAATGAATCAATCAGATTTAAATTTGACTTGATTTATAGAAAATAGTAGCCATATTTGATATTTGTATCTTCAAATACATTTTAAAAAAAAGACGTATCTAGTGCAGAGAGAGCTTCCGCTTCTATCTTGGTCCTGAGAAGGAAGTGTGTCATGTGGCGCTTACCTCGTCTCATAATCTTGATCTTGAGGAGACCACGACTCGAACCCGGAATCTTTCGGTCACAGGCGGTAAGACTCTAACGCTTGCATCAGGCCCGCCCTTCTTCAAATACATTTAACAAGGAAAATATATTGTATGAATAACATAGGAGTATTTTAGATATATTAGTATCTTTTGTATAAATTTTGATAATCTAAAATTGGTTGGCTCTTGAATTCTTTTTGTCCCTGAAGGAGTATGTATAATGTGGATGAGACGAGATAGGCATGGCGATGACGTTGCTCCGAGGAACGTGTTGTTGTTGGGCCCTGAAAATCAGGGAGGAAAGGGAGGACAAAAGCAAAGATGATTGCGTTGGGTTTGCATGGAGATTTGAGTCGCTATCTAGATCTTGAGATATTTCAGCATCATGATGATTAATAGGCAGGCACGCTGAAAGCAACGTTAAACTAGTAGGTACTACTAGTCCATAATATTTTTTTTGTGGGGGAGCTATTTGATGATTGAGCGAGCAACGACCAAGCAACGAGAATGGGTGAGGCACGTAACCTAACATCGACCTCCTAATCCTAGTCGGCTAGTATAATATAAATGCTGATGAGCCCTGCATCAGTTCAGCTGGGCTGCCGGGGGCAATGCTGTAGACTGAATAATAGATACATTTTTTCCGGTTGGCTGTTGTGAGAGAGAAACATGCGAATAATTTGTTGTCGTTGATGAATAATATTTTATTAGTTGAAGGAGGATGAGCTCAACGAGAGATGGCTTCGGTCTTCAAAAAACATTCATGAGAGAAACCGTATTTATGTGGTGATTGATGAATAGACCAGCGACCAATGCAGCCTCAAAATGAGAAGGGATAACAATCAATGAATGGAAGGGGATTTCCTAAAAAAAAGAATGGAAGAGAAGTGTGAGTCGGACGAACGAAGGAGAGAGTGAGAGACACACGACAAACTGACAGACGAAGATCAGGTGAGACTCGGACCGAGGGAGGAATGCATTAGACGAAAGAAAAAAACATTCGCCCCGTTCGCTTCTACTTGTCAGCCGTAGAATAATATTTTCTCTGATAATAAATCAGTATCAATTGGTTTATCAGCCGCAAAAACCATCAGCTGAACAAACTTGATTGAATATAAATATAGATATAGATAATCAGCCTGTTCGTTTGGCTGTGGCTTGTCGTAAACGATCATAAATTTTCAGCCGGAACAGTATTTTTCTCTCACATAAACCAGTCAGCAGTACTTCTTCACGAACCAGCAACGAAACAAACCAGCCAACCGAACAGGCTGAATAGATAGAAGGAAAAATTTTCCTACTCCTTAGGAGCAGTTACTTCCTACTCTTAATTACAGACTGACACACACATACACCCGTGGAACGTTAGTGGGTTTAAAAAAATCTGTTAATCTGATATATATAGAAAGATCCACAAACATCTCAGGCCGAGCCCCACCCGATGCATCTCGCAGTCACCGCCGTCCTCTTCCCTTCCTCCTCTCTTCCACGGCCCCGTCGGAGATGTGAGCGTCGCCATCGTCCAGCGGGCACGCCGGGCTGCGCGAGCCCACTGGTGTCTGAGCTCCGTCCCCGCCGAAAGCGATTCCGTGCGAAATCATGCCCCATTCCAGCTCTCACCCACCGAACGCGGACGGCGGGCCCCCGACCCTCCGATTAAGTCGGCGGCCCTCCCTCATGAAAGCACGGCACCGCCAGCCCGTGCGGTAGGCATCCCTGGCGGCGGCGGAGGCCGACCCACACGGCGCCCCATGACAACTTCCAGATCCAGGTCAGTTGATCCGGAGGCACTCCCCTGCCCTTGTGGATCCGGCGGCGCTCGCTCCACAACTGCGACCGGCGATGGTTGAGGAGCCTGCATCTGGCCGACGGCGGCGCCCGTCTCCCACGGTGCCTCTCTCGATCCAGATCCAGGCATCGGTTATCTTTTTCTTTTCTCACTATGCCTCCTTGAACGGATGCCTCATTTTTTGATTCTCGAGTCCTCGCATCCGATGGATTCAGATTCCATTTGGATTTTTAAGCATTGATTTTTTTTCCACCATAGGTTTCAGATCGGACTTCAACGTGAGACTACCGATCATCAGAGTTTTCGTCCGCGTGAAGCTGCTCCAATCGGCATCCGCTTCCCGCCATCGTCGTGGGATTTGGTTCGTGCAATCCTACCCCGCATGAGTTGTTGCTCCACCGGCGGCTCCATGCGGGATACGGTGCAGGCATAGGCAGTGAAGGCTGATTCAATTATCTCTGAATTTTTAGTACTGACGATTTGATTTTGGCATGTGAGTATTACATTGGTGTAATTTTGTTGAGAAAAGTATACACGCATACTCCCTTCTCACAAAAGTATACACATATATTTTTTTCTCAAAATAAGTATGAATACATACTCTCGTTGTTTTGTATATCTCCATACGTGAATGTATGCACATACTCCGATCGTGTGGTTTATATGCACTTGTACTATCTAAATCTTTGCATATGTTTGCAAGTATGTATAAATACTCTAATCCAAAAAGTATGTACACATACTCCATTCTTCTAAAAAAGAAAAAAATTATGCGCAGATACTCCATTTTAAAAAGTACTATGTATAAATACTATATTTTAAAGGAAGCATACGTACTCCAATTTGCTGTACCGATATTTTCTCGTTGGTGGCATTCAAATGTGCCATGCATGGAGCCGTCTTTTCTATTGGGTTTCTGATGTATCTGCTAGGAAGAAGGAGTAGTTACTCCCATGAATATAGAAAACTCACCCATAGATAGAAATATATTAGGTAAATAACGAATAATTCAACCAGTCGAAGCTGACGGAAATGGGCAAGCCGACCGGACCAGAGTTGCATTGCAGCAGCTGCCTGCGATTATTGTTGTCCTGTCGTGTTTAATTTTCAATTCAGTGAGGCGGATTAAACAAACGAAGCAGAGGATTAGGATTCCTACTACGTAGTGGTACTTGCGCTGCAGTCTGCACATTACAGCTGCAGGCAAGAAAGATGGTCGCTGGTCAGCTGAACCTCCGTTTGAGCGACACAGCCAACTGGCACGTGCTGTATTCGTGTGTCCTGTTCCTGTACTGGGGCGCACCTGTCAGAGACCCACCACGATTCCTGGTCCAGGAGCAGCAACAGGCCAACAACAGCCATTCAGCCAAGCCAAGCCAATCAATGGTCAAACGTCACGTGACTTTTGACCTGGCCTTCATTGCTGGCACGTGACCTCCTCCTCCTCCTGCCTGGCCTGGGTATACCAATACCATTCTGCCACCGTGTCGAAGGGGCCAACGCACTCAACAGCTCCATGTGTGGTCGTGATGCCCACGGTGACTGGTTTGCCCTTTTCCACCCAGATTTGCTCTCTCTCTCTCTCTCTCTCTCTCTCTCTCTCTCTCTCTGAAACGCCACATTGAAAAACAAATTACAAGAATTGGAAAAGCACATGAATAGGATATAAATGCATATACAAAACAGAGTAATCAAAAATTTAAAAAAATATAGGAATAAGTGTTTGAATCAATTTTAAGAGAACGTACAAAACCAGAAACATGAGGTTTGAGTAGATGTTTTTCAAAAGTAATCAAATATATAAAGAAACATTTCTTCATGCAGGCGTTTTTTGTGAAAACAGACTTTACAGCGACTCAATTCATAGGACTTTAGAGTGACTCAATCCAAAGGGGCTTAATTTCAATTGCATAGGTAAGTCTAAGATCTGACCAACACTTAGTCTAATAGCTTGTAGTCCTCCATACAATATAATAGAAAATTAGTGTCATTTTCTTCTTATACTATTCGAAAGTACATTCATATGGTGTTAATTTCGTAGCCATGAACAATATAGTATATTAGATATCAACATTCAACGCTTGATCTTGAAGACTACTGGAAGTTGAATTTCATATAACAATCTCAGACAATTAACTAGTACAATTAAAAGGGCACTTCATAAGGAATAATTCATACTTTTTTAATAAAGTGAAACAATGGCAAAAATTTCATGTTGGTTGAACTAAAAAAAATAGACACCTGAAATATATGACAAGTGGAAGACTATAGAAGGCCAAACCATGTCCCGCGTTTTGAAAAGCGACACATATAAGTTAGCTATTTTTGTTAGGATATAAATCACAAAAAAATAGTGTTTTAAAATGATGTACCGCAATGCATTCTATTAGTATCAAGGCATGCGAATTGAAGACGGTGCCAGTGATTTCACGGCGGCTCAGCATTTAAGAAATTTTGGGTTCTTCTACGAGGAAGTAGTTGAGATTAGATTGCTTATTGATATGTATTGATCTTTATGGCAATAAAAAAGATAATATTTATGTGAAAAAATTAATACTCGGTGATCAATAAAAAAAGGTAATGCTATGGTAAATCTTATTCTTGTTTGGGTTTTGATACAAAATTTGTTTACGGTTGGATGATCCAAGCGCATCTTATAGTTTCGAAAGCATTATTATAGATTAGTACACAAACTCATAAAACTACAATTCTCTTGCCACATTTGTCAAAATAATATTCCCTACTAAAGACATGTTAAGGTCCTAAGAGCATCTCTAACATACCCCTTCCTAAAAAACTACATGTAGTAGGCAAGATATGACTTTTTTCTTACTCCAACATATCCCCTTTCCATCCCTCGTTGTTGATTATCACCAAAAATCCACCCCAGCTCACCTCAAATGGAGGAGGAGATGCAAGTCCCCATGTACATTTTCCAAATCCCAAGTGGCTCTTCTTTTCCTCCTGCCCCCACTCAGACATCTCCGCGACACGTCCAAACATTGGTAGAGCATCATCGTCCGCCCACTGATGCGCTGTTAGGGCACCGTAAATGGAAAAGCCCCGCCTACTACACTCCTTTATTGCATGGGTTGCTTCCACTCATGTAGCTCCCTCACACCTGTATTTCGGCAAAGATCCATGGGATGTAATGGTCAAAACGAAGAAAACAAGGGCTAACGTCCTCACTTTGTAGGCCACCAGCTTTCGAGGACGATGCCTCTTTGTCAGTGACCGCAAGATTAGAGACTCTATTGTCGTTGAGCACAAGCCGAAGGCTATAGGTGGCCTCTACGGTGTACTAGCTGTGGTAGACGAGGAAGTAGCTTGGGGTTATCGAAGCTGAAGACGCCAAAGACAAGGGTGAGGAGCTCCTCTGGGAGGCCAACGATGTTGTCTTCCTCGGCGTCCTTGGTGATAGAGGCGAGGAGTTGTGTCGACATAGGGAACTGAGGGGGGGGGTGGAGCGGGACGTGGACAATGCTTGTGGACGAAGATGGTGGTGGGTCTGCTGAGGAAGGAGGAGGCAGATGTGGGGAGGAGTGGGTGGCGTGGATAAGAAGTACGGGAGTAGAGGAGTAGAAGAGGAATGAAATAAGAAAAAAAAAGCTCCCTGCCTATGAATATATATGTATTAGGGATGAATTGGTGGTGATCTACAAAATTTTTCTCCATCAATAGCATTGAAAATGATATTAGAGTGGAATCAGTACTATCTGATAATGGGTCATCGGTGACGTCGGAGAGATGCTCTTAAGGATGAAATTTGTGGGATACCAGGGCCATATCTCCCATCAGAGGAATAATTTCTTCTAAAAATAGCGTAGCAGGTACCAAAAGGGGTTAGCACTTGCCAAACTATACTCGGAAGAAGGCAGACCGGATTCAGGTGTGGTGATTAGAAGAGGGCAGGCCAGCAGGAATACAGGCGTGGCCAGGGTGGAGCCAGCAATTTGCGGCCTGGGTTTGGGGTGGCAGCAGACAGCCGGACAGACAAACCATGTCCATAATTCCATTTTCCTTCCGCATAGCAATACTCTAGCATCTAAAAGGAAAGGAAACGAAAGGCGAGGTGGCAGCAGACAGCCGGACAGACAAACCAATTCCATTTTCCTTCCGCATAGCAATACTCTAGCATCTAGAAGGAAAGGAAACGAAAGGCCAGTCACGAGGAGCAGGAGTAGTGCATTTGCATTGCGGCGTGGCGTGGCGTCTGCACTAGTATCCGCAGCCGCCGCCCCGCTGCCTCCGCCTCCGTCGATTTGGATTCCCAGCGGCGGCCGCATCAGCAGCTAATCAAAGCAATCAGCCAGTCGCCCAGCCCAACAGACGCTCCCCTCCCCCAGTCCCCGACCCGCCCCGATGCGAGGCACAATGCCGGCCACCGATTCCTCGTCGCCGGCGGCGGCGCCGCTGCCCTCCATCGGCCGCTCCATCGGCTGGTCGCTCCGCCGGGAGCAGAACCAGATCCACTCCTTCCCGCCGCCGCCCGACGACGCCACCGACGCCTTCCAGCGCCGCGCCGCCGAGCTCCTGACCAACCTCCTCGCGCCCCCGGCCGACGACGTCCTCTCCCTCGCCTGGACGCGCCGCCTCCTCGACGCCTTCCTCCTCTGCCTCGAGGAGTTCCGCGCCCTGCTTTTCGGCTCCGGGGTCTCGCCCGCCGCACGGCCCCCGCTCGACCGCCTCGTCGCCGACTTCTTCGACCGCACCGTCAAGGCGCTCGACCTCTGCAACGCCGTCCGCGACGGCCTCGACCTCGTCCGCCAGTGGCGAAAGCACCTCGCCATCGCAGCAGCCGTCCTCGCCTCCTCCTCTTCTTCCGCCTCCTCCTCCTCGCCGCCGCTCGGGGAGGCCCAGATCCGCCGCGCCCGCAAGGCGCTCACCGACCTCACCATCCTCATGCTCGAAGACAGGGACGGCGGGGGCGTCGTCGGCCAGCGCAACCGCTCCTTCGGTCGCCCTGCCAACGCCACCAACGAAAAAGCCGCCCGCGGCCACGGCCAGGGCCACCACCGCCGGAGCAGCAGCGGCGGGAGCTCCGGCTCCGGCTCCGGCTCCGGCACCCACCTCAGGTCCCTGTCCTGGAGCGTGTCCCGGGCCTGGTCCGCCGCGCGCCAGCTGCAGGCCATCGGGGGAGGCCTGCCCGTGCCCCGCCCGCAGGACAACGCCGCCACGGGAGGCCTCGCCTCGGCAGTCTACACCATGGGCGCCGTGCTCTTCATCGTCGCCTTCGCGCTCGTCGCCGCCATCCCGTGCCAGGACCGCGGCCTCCACGTGCATTTCTCCGTGCCCAGGAACCTCCCCTGCTCGGGCCCCATCACCACGCTCTACGAACGCATCCTCGACGAGTCCAAGAAGAAGGAGCGCAAGAACTCGTGCGGCCTGCTCAAGGAGATCCACCAGATTGAGCTCTCCTCCAGGCACCTCATGGAGATCACTGACGCCGCCGAGTTCCCGTTGCACGAGGACAAGGATACCCAGGTGCGGGAGGCCGCGCAGGACCTAGTGCAGCTGTGCGAAACCATCAAGGAAGGGCTCGACCCGCTCGAGCGCGAGGTCAGGCAGATGTTCCACCGGATTGTGCGCACACGCACAGAAATCCTTGACTGCTTGAGTAAGCCACATGGCACCCAGTGATGAGAAGATACAGAGATAGGCAGGGAAACTGGGAAGCCACACTTGCTTGCTTGCTGTGATGCCGCTTATGACGAAACATTGTGTGAAATGCAGCAGCAGCAGTGAGCCCGATTCAGATGAGGTAGCTTTTGTCTGCATAAGTTAGCAACTACTACATCATATACATGTGTCTTCATAGAGGCTTGTCCTTCTGTTTGATAAATTGGTTTCTTCATTTTTTTTCATTTCATTCTCTCGTCTCTGTAGATTGTGAATCCTTCCTTACTTGGCAGTGCTTCGTAGTAGTGGTCTAATACTATTTGTTCCATTCTTTTCATCTGGTTTGATGTGGTAATTGTCAGTCACTTTGGTGGTTAGTAACTGACATTACCACATCTGTGCCAACACAGAAACGAAACAGGCTTATGGTGCTATGCTATGCTGGAATTGTTGAGAGATTGTGAGGTGATGCTATTGACATCACCATTTTTTTGTGTCCAAAGATTAGCGAATGTATATAGTCTGATCACAAAAGAGACTACACTTCATCATTGATCACTCAACATTAGCTTATGTTGGCTTAGTCCGTAGCAATGCTGCTTGTTTCTTCCATCCTGTCTTTGCGTGTTTAGACTTTGTGTTTCAAATGAACACATCAAATGCATGCTTTGCCACTGATATTGTCTGTAACTCAATATTGGGGAAAAAATGCAGATGGACAGAAATAACTGACATACGTAATTTCTTTGTCAATGAACTAGTTTGGGTAAACAGACTATTTAAATTTGATCGTATCTTTGATATGTGTCCTATTCTTGTACACAGACTATAGTTTTTTTTTCAAAAGGTACAGAGTCACAGACTATAGTTAAGAAGAGATATACAGAAGTACTTTTTAGATAGTGTTGTGAAGGGCGGGCCTGATGCAAGCGGTAGAGTCTTACCGCCTGTGACCGGAAGGTCCCGGGTTCGAGTCGCGGTCTTCTCGCATTGCACAGGCGAAGGTAAGGCTTGCCACTAACACCATTCTCCAGACCCCGCACAGAGCGGGAGCTCTCTGCACTGGGTACTTTTTAGATAGCGTTGTACTATTTTAGAGTGCTTGGTGAAAGAAACAACTGACATAGTCAATTCCTTTGTCAATGAAATAATTTGGGTGAACGGAACCTTACTTGGTCCCACATTTAAACTTGATCGTATCTTTGATATATGTTCTATTCTTGTACATAGACTATAGTTAAGAAGAGATATACAGAAGTACTGTTGTATTTCAGAGTGCTTAGTGAAACTGGTAGGTTTATCATTGAGCTACACATTACATCCTGTATGAAACTGCCCTTCAGAAATATTTGTTGGTTCTAGACAATGTTTTTAGGTCGTCCGATTAATCACGATTAGTTGTCCTGGTCGGTCCTTGGTATTCGATTAGGAGGACCGACTCGATTAGCTCGACCAGAAAGCTGGTCGTCCGATTAGTCGACGACTAATCGTGATTAGTCGTCCGAATAGGACAGGGACGACCAGTTTGTTTACTCTGTTTTTGGGCCTGTTTAACTGGGCGGACATGTGGGACTATTGAATGTCAATGTTTATGACTTTGTGTTGAACACTTTAGCTTATCTGTACTGAACTAATTTGGTTATGTAACATGCTGGCTATGTGGCTACTATGGTCTGCTACATGTTAGTTATTTTGCTACTACGGCAGTGCTGCTGTTCAGGTGCGTCAAGATCAAGACTGCATTAGTGTCACCAGCTAAACACTAATGCAGTCTTGATGCTTGCTTTATTGTGTGTGTGTGTATATATATCGGTCTCATGGCGACCAGGTTCTACCAGACGACCTGAAAACATTGGTTCTAGAGATATCAGTAAGACAGAACTTGGGTGGTCAGGTAGCATGGGTGATGGGTTGTTTAGATAGAGTTCAGACTTAGGGCCTGTTTGGTTTCTACAGGCGTTCCTAAAATTCTTGTCACATCGAATGTTTAGATACATGCATGGAGTATTAAATACGGACTAATTACGAAACTAATTACACAACTTGCAACTAATTTGCGAGACGAATCTTTTAAGTCTAATTAGTCCATGATTTGACAACGTGGTGCTACAGTAAACATTTGCTAATGCCAGATTAATTAGGCTTAAAAAAATTATCTCGCATATTAGCCTCCATCTATGTAATTGGTTTTGTAATTAATCTATATTTAATGCTCTTTATTAGTATCTAAACATTCGATGTGACATGAATTTTAAGAGCGACTAAAGAACCAAACACCCCCTTATATTGTTGCCAGGATACTTCAATTTGTTACATGACATTTGATTGCCCTTGAGCTGAGTCAACTCTGCATAAACCCTTGCGGAGTTGAAGTATTCAAGGGTTGTTAGCGGAATTCTTGAGAGAAATGGAGTCATGTGAGCTGGTCAATGTGCATGTTTTCTGTATGGACCTTTTCTTTTGTGTACTAACCTACTGGTGCAGTGTGCACGTTGGATGTTTCTTGGTCAATAGGCAAGATTTTTTTTTGTTCTAATTTTTTATTATTATCTTTTGGTCCCTTGTGGTTGTGGTTACCTGGCTCTAGCAGCCTCCATGCGCTGCCAAAAATTTTGATTTGAGAATCTAATCTCATCCCATGTCACTGCTGCTGAAATTCTGCCCGCTCGTTCGTTCTCTGCACCTGTACATTTTGTATTTTGCAATTGAGGGAAGAATCCCCGGACCTGAATATGGAAGCAGTCTTTTGTGGTGCTGATTTTGGCTGTGCTCAAGGTTATGACTGAGGTACTACGGTTTGTTTGTGCGTGCATGCACAGTTGAGCTTGAGTGTAGTTTTGAGGATGAGTTGGGCCTTGTTTAGATTGCAAATTGTTGCAACCTGGATACTGTAGCACGTTTCGTTTGTATTTGACAAACTTTGTCCGATCATGGACTAACTAGGCTCAAAAGATCCATCTCGTGATTTACAACCAAACTGTGTAATTAGTTATTTTTTTACCTACATTTAATGCTCTATGCACGCGTCTAAAAATTGATGTGATGAAGAGAGAGTGAAAAAACTTAGAATTTGGAGGTGATCTAAACAAGGCCTTGGTTTACCTCCGAGGCCCTGCTAAAGTCTTGAAACTTCACTCCGTTTGGGTTTACTGGTCACAAAATTTACTGTAGCAACTTCGGTCATCTGTTTTTTTTTGTTCTCCAAAATAATTCTACATGCTCTAAAATGTGCAATACGTACTCGCTATGTATGTTGCATAATAAATTTTGTGTAACATGGAAATTTCAAGCATGTAAACATTTTTTTTTGTAGAAAAATACGAATGGTGAAAATAGCAAGATTGTGATTGTGTGTCTGGGTTAGGAAAATGACATGAGCATGGGCCTCCAAAGAAAGCCTGTCTGTGCAGCGCAGGTTATCGGGCTCGAACCTCTCTGGGCTCTCGGATAAGGAACTACCGACTGGAACTACAGGCTCCGTCTTTGAGGGGTTTGCTGTTATGTGTTTGGGGTTGCTCAGGATTAGTCGTGTGGGCTGCCGTATTCAGTTTATTTTTCCCAGTTTTCCTCCAGTAAACCATGTGGTTATAAGGTTTTCGGTGTACAATTTTCATTCCTTATAAACCAATCAATTTTAGTTTAAAAAAAACAAAAAACAAAAAACAAATCAATTCTATAGACCGTCAAGAAACTCAAATGAAAAGACAGCAAGCCATGCATCGCCTGAACAGAAGACGACCTGAAAAACAGAACAAGAAAACAAGATTATAGTCATCTGGGCTGCCCTGTTCGGATCTTTTCTTACCGGTTTTCCTTGGATAAACATTGTGGTTATAAGATTTTTGTGTCAAACTTTTTATAAACTGAAGAAGCAGCAAGCGAAGAAGACCAGGAAAACCGAAGAAGAAAACAAACTCAACTATAGGCCTGGCTTATTTCACGTGACAAACCTTTACAAGCTATATCACCACCATGGGTCCATGACAGCAGCACGCATGCTTAGCTACCTGACACTTACACAACACTGAGAACAGATACGCTAAGCGATATGGCCATGACCTGTTACAGCTAGAGCGAGCTAGCTAATCATTCACGCGTCGGCCGCGAGCCCCTCGTCGTCGCCGGCGGCGGTGTCGAGCTGGGCTGATGATGAGATATCGACGCTGGCGGTGTTGCGCACGGAGCAGTTGAGGCGGATCTCTCCGGCGGTGCCGGTGAGCACGTCCATCTGGCTCATCTTGACGAAGGACCTGGCGAACTGGTCGAAGAAGGCGGCCTGGTTGAGCGCGAAGCGGGTGGCGGTGCGCATGGTGTCCGGGTGGTTGATGAGGCCCTGGTCCGACTTGAACAGCCCCTGCCTCGAGATCAGGTCGAAGTAGTACTTGTTGTCGAAGGCGTTGGGCGTGCGCACGTCCAGCACCTGGCTCACCACGTTCCCGCTGGGGTCGCTGGCGCACTTGGCCGCCAGCTTCTGCCGGAACGCCGGGTCCATGGTGCCGTCGTCCGCGTTGGGCGGCAGCCGGTCGCTGAAGGAGGCGCAGTGGCCGCGGCCCACGGTGTGCGCGCCGGACAGCGCCACCAGGTCCGCCTTGTCCAGGCTGCGGTTCTTGAACGCCTCGATCAGCGTCGGCACGTCGAAGAAGGGCGCCGGCAGGGTGCCCACCAGGTCGCTCGAAGCCGGCGCCAGGCCGTCGCGCCGCCCGAGAGGAACGTCGAAGAAGGGGCCGCCGGACTGGATGGATGGAGTAGTCGATATATGATCGAACGTACACACTCTCTGAATACCTGACAGTCTAGCTGGCGACTTACCGCGACGACGGCGTCCCGGGTAGCTAGCGTGGTGATGTCGGCGCAGGATACCGTGGGCCCGCAGGCGGCGTGGACGGCGGCGCGGATGTCGTCGATGAGCTTCAGCGCCGCGGGACGCAGCGTCTGGTTGGGTATCTCGATCTGCTCGCTGTTGGGACCCGACAGGAGCACGGACGCGTCGCAGCCCTGATATCGATGGTACGTTTTCACAG